AACTCGGTCACTGCAGGAGCAGAAGAGCCTCAGGGTGAGCCTGGCTGCGCTGAGCTGCTGCCCACTCCAGCCCCATCCATCCCCACAGCACGTACGGTTCTGCCACGAGGAGTAGAGGGAGTTCTCCTCCATGTGGACGTTGGGGCTGGGCTGTGTTCTGCTGCTGCTCTGTGGAGCCTCCTTTGTGCCCTGAAACAGTGGGATGTGAGCGTGGCCCCCGGGCACCCTCATCCCAGGGCTGCTCCGAGCATGGCACAGGGCATGCAGAGATGGGGCCATGCGAGCAGGGCTGTAGCATCTCTGCCTGCTGCGCATGTACAGTGGAGACTTTCCCAACAGGGGCTTGCCTTCAAAAGGACCCCAATTTTGTCCACCTAACAGGACTCATCTCTTCCTCTCCTGCATTCCCTGGACCTGGTAACACCCTCCATCCCAAGGGGATGACCAGGGACTGGGGAAGGGAGCCCCCTTACTGAGCTTGACCCATGAGCAGAACAAGGAGGGTCCGGGTGTGCAGCCGGGGAAGGTTCCATGGTACCTGGAAAGCCAGTTGGCAGAGCTGCGAGATCCACTCGTCCCGCTGCTCGGCTGCCAGCACGTAGCTCTTCTCCGTGGTGTTGAGGTAAAAGGCAGCGGTGTCTTTGGGGCAGCTCTCAGTGCCAACAGGCCCCACAGAGACACAGTCGGAGAGGCGGATCACGCGGCGGGCGCACCGCCGCAGGGAGGACTTCTCCAGCATCGTGCCGTCGTCCCTCACATCAAACTTCTCCATGCGGGCCACACCAGACGGGCTGGCAGCAAAGAGCTGCGCTCGCATCTTCCTCCAGGACCTCTGGGGTTTGGGAAGGGCAAAGATGATGGGAAAAAAAAAGGTCAGCACACCGCTGCCTGCTGCATCTTCGCCGGCACTGCCTTCCTTTCTGCAGCAGAGCAAGGGCTCCAGCTGTGCTTGGCAGGACATGGCACCCTGGGCACAGGCACTGCCCTTCCTGCCCCCTTGGCAAGGCCAGAGGGGAGGATGCAGCAAGCAGGGGCCATTGCGGGTTCCTCAGCAGCTGCAGGCCAGGCCCGTGCCAAGCCC